GCAAGTCTATCTCCGATCTCATACCACGGGAGGAAAGCGTCGAGAGAGACCGGGTTAAACAAAGTTCCGCTTTGAACTCCTGCGAAAAAGGATAAAACACCGAGACAAAGAAAAGCTAAGCAAGAACGAATGCAGCTAGAGTGCATAAAGTACTCAAACAAAAAGATAGACAACTCACAGCTGGGGGCGGGTTGTTGGCTGAGAACTCGGTGACAGCAGGGGGAATGACGCTCACCCCTTTCAGCATCTTCTGAAGATGCTCGAGTACCTCCTCACCGGTCAGCTCAAGAGCTGGGACCATGCGTGAAGGATCCTCGGCCCCAGAATACTCAAAGCCAAGATGCTCCCGCTCTTTCAAGGGCTGAACCCGGCGACGAAGAAAGCTCGAAACAATACCAAAGCCGGTCAAACCCTGCTGCTTCAGCATGCTAATCCTATCAAGGAGTGGCTGGATCACTTGAATCTCAGCAGGCGATTCAAGTTTCTTGTCCCATCGGTCATTCACCATAGGACCAGATCCAGGATGAATGGCAAGGGAAGGGATTAAATTGGCAGCGTAAAACCCCTCGGCATGCCAATCTTTTACAGAATCGACCAGTCATAGTCAAAAACTTAATTTTGAGACCACAATGAAATCGAATCCTCAAACCGCCAAGAACGCTGGTTTCTTCACGGCGGGGTTGAGGTTTCAAACGAAAGAAAAAAAAGCGAAAAAAGAGAGACAGAGAAGGAGGATTCCCGGAAAGCTTCGCAAAGATGAACGCAACAGAAAAGATGGAGAATGGCATTGGGGGTTAGGTGGTTCGGACTAATCCCAAAATAACCAAGAAACTGATGAAGGAAAGTGGAAGCGAGCGAAGGCAAAGTCCGTAGCGGACAAAAGAAACAAAAGGACAATCTCACGGGACCCGGCTGGAACCCGATGCTCACCGGAACCCTCCATTCAGCGATGACTTTGCTTTGGATCAAGCCATCGCTAACGAGCTCAGCATGCACTGGTCTTCGTTTGTTGTTGGAGCCGGCCAAACCTTCTGAGCAGCCCTCATAGCCACGAACTCCTGGTTTTCGATCGAAGAAAGGATGACTCCTCGTCTCTGAAGGTCGCTGAGACTTGCTTGCGTTTTCTTCTTTCCCATGAACTGGCGGAAGCAAAAGAGCGCTAAAGAAGATGTAGGATGATGGTGCTCGGGTTTCTGGCGACGTGGCGGCGATGGATTTCTGAAAGCTAGGGTTTAAAGGCAAGAGTTGGGCAGCAAAGGGTCTTTAAATAGGTTTCTCAGCGATACAAACGCCCACAAGGCCCGATAAAACACAATGTGGGAATACAACGGTCCATTTACCGACGCAGCTAAAACGATGGAGGGCACAAATCCACACAACAGTACAAACCAACGGGCAGATTTCAGACTTATCCGTCTAGCACCACGGCAGGGTTATCAGATCGCTACAAGAACAACTCGTCAAAACAAGAAGAAAGAAAGAAGAAAGAAAAGGCTACCTCACAAGGAACAAAAGAACCTGGTTATTTGAGAAAGAACCCGGTAATCTCATGTACAACAGGGATCGCAACAGAAAAGTAAAAGAAAACTCAGAAGACAAGATTCGTTACATTACAAGCAGAAGATTACAAATCTTAAAGACAAGATTCGTTACATTACAAGCGACTTCAAAAATAGAAGATTACAAATCTGACAAGACCCAACGAACTCGGCACCACGAAAAGCAAGGTAGCAAAGAGGAACGCGGACACGGCTAGGCTCTGGAACGACTACGTGTCCCAAATTGCTACTCGAAAGGACAAACCGCCATCAGCTACACTGTTTTCTTCAAAGGAAGGACGCAGTGCACTCAAGGCGGAAATCGACAGCACGGCAGGACAACATGGAGCAGAGAAGGCCGGCAGGCATCTGTCTACCCAAGACCGATGTGATACTGCATATGGTGTTGATCTGCACCGGACAGTCTCAAGATAGGCGACGAGGATCAACCCAGAACGGCCAGATGAAGGAACGAAGCCCACATCACAAGACTTCCTCCAACTACCACCACATACATCCTGGCACAATGCTGTCGCGGGATTAGCCTACCTCTAATCCCTATCACAAGACTTCCTCCAGCTACGACAAGACACACAGGAACTACAAAATATGACCGGGGGCTGCTCTACTTCACAAACTACCATGCTCATGTCCATGAAGGTTTCAACGGAATATCCAATAGATGAAAACAAGCACTCGGGGACAAGATTTATAGACCAAAGGAGCGCGCACATGGACCAGGAGTACCGGCGAAATAAGCGACAAAGAACACAAAGAAAGGACAGGACTCAATAATGGACGACTCAAAGTAGAGGAAAAAAAGATTACTCAAAGACGGGCATATTCGGAAGAATATACCATCACAAAGACAACCCGTGAACAAAAAGCATTTACACTCAACCACCACCATACAACTACATCGACAATGACAGCAGACTATCAAAGAATACGCTTAGACCTCGCATCCGAGTTCTTCCCTTTAACAAAACAACACGGATATACGCTGGGGGCTCGGCCAAAGATCATAGCTTAATCAACACTAAGCTAGGGAATTCGGCCCTCATTTCAACTACTCCCGGGGCTCGTAACCAAAGACAAAAGACAAAAAGTACAAGAAACTCAAGACTACAACGACGACGACGCATCAAGACTCTTCAACCGACTTCTTTTCAAAAGAAAAGAACTCAAGAAAGCACGAGGTCATGGGATACATAGCCCCGAAATTTTTGAAGACAGAATCTGGACCCTCCAACTTTTGCAAGCAAAAGCAAGAGGCTCGGGGCTACATCGAGTGAGTGCAATTTTATGAAAAATTGCACCCACCAAAAACCGAACCCGAACATAGGCTCGTAGGTCGCACGCCGTGAAACAACTCGGATGATGGTTTAATCCAAGACTAAAGGACCGCTTGGAAAGATACCACGAAACTACTCGGATGATGGTTTAATCCAAGACTAAAGGACCATTTCGGAAAGATACCACGAAAACTACTCGGATGATGGTTTAATCCAAGACTAAAGGACCGTTTTCAAAAGATACCACGAAAACTACTCGGATGATGGTTTAATCCAAGACTAAAGGACCGCTTGGAAAGATACCACAAAAACTACTCGGATGATGACAAAATTCAAGTCTCGGGGACTACTTGAGCACACGATTTTCAAACAAACATAAAGGATCAAGACCCTCCAACTTTTTGTTCCAAATAGCAAGAGGCTCGGGGCTACACTCAGCGTGAGTGCACTTTTCTCCCAAAAAGCGCGTCGTCACCAAAAGACTTCCTCAACGCAGACTACTTCAAGACATTATGACAAAAAGAACCCGAACGAGCCATATTCGAGTTCTTTTTGACAAAACTTCAGCGAACAATCAGAGCAACTTCAAGAAAAGATCCTCCAGCTCCTTGTTCCAAATAGCAAGAGGCTCGGGGGCTACAACCAGATGGATGTACTTTTTCTTCACAAAACACTCACCACTCGAAGGTCCCAAGAAGCGCTACAAGGTTTCACTCCAGAAAGCACTCGGATAACATCTTGTTCCTACCTAACAAGACCTGAAGGAGCAAAGCGAGACTTTCAGAGCTCAACCATGAAGTGCTCGGGGGCTTATCGATGTGGGACCTACAGGATACCCCGCAAGTGAGATAAAAGATCTAGTTCAACTAGGATTCTTCCCATGTAATCTTAAATAGAAGAACTATTAAGTAATCCTACTAGGAAATCTCATTGTAAACCGACTAGGACTTTGGCCTCCTGATAATATAAAGGAGGGTAGGGCTCCTGAAAGAGAGGACGACAATTGTACAACATAACACTTCATAATCAATCCAACGCAGAAGGCAAACACCGACTGGACGTAGGGTTGTTACTCGATCTACGATCGAGGGCCTGAACCAGGATAAATCGACTGTCTCTTACGTTTATCATCGAGTTCAGCATACGCCGAAGCCCGAACGATACTGCCACGGTACCCCTGTGGCAGGCTATCGGTGGTAAAACATCGACAGTCAAGAAATCGATTGTTAAGTGAATTAGTGAAATAAGGAATATAAGGTTTAGTATGAGTACGGATAGGATAAATCCTCTTAACAAGGTTTGCAGCAACACACAATACCTGGTCCATGACTTTTCACTTATACAACCTCCCACCTTAGTTGTGTATTAACGTGACATACATTATGATGTCATTACTGATCCAAGGGTCAAAGCAATCTAACAATAATATCAATGTGTATCTGGAATAGTTGGTGGATGATCTAATGATATTGTGGAATCAAGATATCAAGATATGGATCATCTAATGATATTGTGGAATCAAGGTATCAAAAGATATGGACGAGTACAAATAAGAACACTTCACATCTAAAAGGACTATTATTCTTAGTCAGAAACCAAAAGTTGAAAGAAATAGCCTAGCTATTAAGCTGGCTTTTGAAAGTCTATAATACTATCTACTCAGAAAATCTATATCTTCTAATCTATATCTTCTAAACCCCACTGGAATTATATCTCAATATGCAAGCTATACATATCAATATCCACGAGCACATATAATTATAACATATATCTATTTATTCGAGCTATCCATTTCATCGAGCCATATCATCCATTAAAATTCATTCGTGACCCTGCAGAAACACGCGGGTACGCTTAAATCACGCTGATAGAAGCTTTTCTTTTTTTTTAATAAGGTAAATAAAAAAAACTAAGGCTCAAACAAACGTACCCTCACGTGACTTTGGCACTGACCCGGTGCCCGGCGCACCACGCTCCAACCCGACGCGCACCGCATCCTCCGCCCACCCTCCCCAAAGATGCCACCATCGTCCCTCAGCTGTGACTGGGCTGTGACCTCGTCGCCCCCCCCATTTCACTTCCCACTACCGCCCTCGCCCTCGCCACCGCCGCTCCACTCCAGTTCCACCCGTACGCGCCCACGCTCTCCGCGGTCCACGCCAACGCCATGGCCTCCCAGCTCCGCCTCCACCTTGCGGCCACACCACCTCTCCTCCTTCCGCACCGCCGTCCGCACCTCCGCCACCTCCCGCCGCCGCTCTGCCCCACCCTAAACCCAATCCGAGCGCGGCTCCCCGCTCTCCCAGTCCCACGCGTTCTCTCCCATGCCCGTCCCGTCCGGGCGGTCGGGGGAGGCATCGAGCCGAAAGAGGGTGTTGTCGCGGAGGGGGAGGAGGACTCTGTCGGGGAGCCCCTGCTCGTGGGGGAGGATTCGGCTGCGTTCGAGCTCAAGGACCAGAGCGTGGCGTCGTGGGCTTACTTCGCCGTGATACTAACCGCGGTGCTCGTCGGGCTCAACGTGCTGTGGATCGACCCCGGTACCGGAGTCGGGACCAAATTCCTCGACGCTGTCGCCTCCGTCTCCGACAGCCACGAGGTGCGCACTCTTTATTTACGGGGCTTTCGGATTTCACTAGAAAATTGGGCGCGCCTAGTGGCCCGTCACCGTCCCACGAGATTAGAAAGTAATTTTTGAATGCACGAAGCGGTATATGGTGTGAAATATGATGTGTAGTCCTGGGTTAACTTTGTCCAGATAAATATTGTAGCAGAGGGATGTTGCTCGACCAGCATTTAAGGTCAGAACAACATTATCACAACATAGGTTTCTGGCAGTACCTGAGGTAGTGCAATTCTGAATGGCAATTTTGTTGCACACTCCTGTCTCAAGTGCCTTTTGCTGTTATTGCTGTAGTTCCAAATTTGAAAGATAAAATGTGCCAGGCATTCCTTGCCTCCTACTATTCTGGCATTGAGTAATATTGGTGTATTGGTATATGTGTCCAATTCTCCATCTAGATTGTTCATGGCTGAGTGAACAATTTAGGTCCTTCTGAATACCGATGGTGTTGTTTAGCAGCCTGTCAGCAACAGAAAAATGCACATTTAGCCATTAAAAATAACTAACTTGAAAGAGTAGAGGAGTAATATAAAGTTGTAGTCACTGTAGTGCATGGTTTTCAAGGCGTCACCTAGGTGAAAAGGTGCCCTGGCGTCCCCATCACCATGACCAGAAGTCAGCAAAAGAGAGGGAGGGTGAACAGAGGAAGAATGGGAGGGGAGCGGGCCAGCAAGGCCAAGAACCCGCAGCTGCTGCCATCTCCCCTGCTCCAGCGCCGGAGGCCCGCGCAGAACTTGGTCCGGTCAGCCATGGCACAGTCAATCTGGAAGGGGACGGCAGCAGTAGTTGATATGCGGGCGCAGAGCAGTGAGGAAAGGGAAGAGAAGTGTCTGGGAGAAGTTTCAGGTGGCAGCGGCGCTTCAACTGGCTAACGAGGTAACCGTGGGAACTGTAGATGTAGATCACACCAGGGGAGGGGTACATGGGCTGGGCTAGCCACTTTATTACTCCTTCATCAGTTATGGTGTCACCATGGAAAGCTATCATTCCCGCTCATCGCAGCAAGCTGCACTGCTGCAGCACCACTGTTGTCATGACCTTTGATTCCGTCTCAGGCTCACACTCTGTCGCCATGGGACCATGACTGAGGAAGCACTAGGGGAAGGATGTGGACATGGAGGAAAACAGCAGCTGGCAGCATGTGGGCAGGGTGTAGTGTAGGTTGCAGCTGGAGGAGGTTGTGGCAGCGCCGATTCATTTGCTGCTTGGCTAGCTCAGCGCTCTAGGTGTAGGGAACAAGGACCAGTCTCAGGTGTGGGTGAAGTGGGCAGAAACCCAAACCAACCTTCATTGAACAGCATCATATCGCGTATTTCACGGATTGGATGGCTGTCCTTAATGGAATAACGTTGTACGTGGATATCTTATGAGAGCTGGGAATCCACAAGCTCTAGATATATAAATTTTGTTTTATGGTTTTAGTCTCCTACGTACTACTATGTGTTTTAGAAAGCTCTAGGCGCTAGGCAGGTGGTTCAGTGTATGCCCTCGTCATATCCATTTGACCATAGATTGCCTTTACCCATTGGGTCATCAGGTCGCTGGTTATTGTTTGGGGTAGGAAGATATATACATGACTTGGATAAATACGAGGTTTATGGTCCTAGGCATGTTAAATTCTTTCAAGAAAGCAGAGGAACTAACAAGAGCAGTTTTCCTTTTAAAAAAATACCACATGAGTACTGGAACGTGTATACACAGAACCTAACTAACTTTACAATGAATATTGGGATTTCAACAATTGTTTCTGTGGTTTTGTACCAAATGATGAACAAACACTGAAACAGCAATGATAAATTTAATCTGAACAAGAAAAATTAGTATCAAGTCTTGATCTGGAAAATGTTGAGGTACAAATATAGTTATATTCAAAATGTTTGGGGACTTATATACTTGAAGTGCTATTTTTTATTTTGTATTTCTCCATTTGTTTTTCACCTATCTTTTGTTTTATCATTACCTTTTGCTTCACTGTTGTCTCAATTGTATACAAAATTGATTTACATATTATATGGTGTTATATTAATTTGTTTGTCCTACTTGTTACATTGGCAGATTGTATGATATATAATAGATAAACAGTTTAACCATGTGCGATTCTCTTGCAGGTCGTTATGTTGCTCCTTACCATAATCTTTGCTGTAGTTCATAGTGGTATGGCAAGCCTACGGGAAAGTGGTGAGAAAATAGTAGGGGAACGTGCTTACCGTGTGCTGTTTGCTGGAATTTCACTGCCTTTAGCAGTTACTACTATTGTGAGTGCTTAGCATTCTTTTCCATATCTCAATGGTTAATAAATCTTACCGTACCTTATACAGTTTCCATATCTTTTCAGGTATACTTCATAAATCATCGGTATGATGGTATTCAATTATGGCAAGTTCAGGGAATCACTGGCATTCATGAACTTGTTTGGATCTCATCGTTCATTTCGTTCTTCTTTCTGTATCCATCTACTTTCAATCTTTTGGAAGTGGCAGCTGTGGACAAGCCTAAATTACATATGTGGGAAACAGGAATAATGCGTATCACCAGACATCCACAGGTCATTAGTTCTATAAAATATGTAGAGGCGTTCTCTATGATTGCATTGCTGTTTCTTATGACCACTTACAGACTTCTGACCCACAATTATCCTGTAGATGGTTGGTCAGGTAATTTGGTGCCTTGCTCATACACTATGGATTGGCAACTCAGTTGCCGTTGTGGCCTCTGTCGGACTTATCAGCCACCATCTCTTTGGTGCTTGGAATGGTGACAGGAGGCTGGTGTCACGCTATGGTGAAGCCTTTGAAGTCCTGCAGAAGAGAACAAGTGTTGTGCCCTTTGCTGCGATTCTTGATGGACGGCAGAAACTGCCCAAAGATTATCACAAGGAGTTCTTTCGGTTACCATATGTGGCAATCACAATATTAACCTTGGGCTCATACTTTGCTCATCCATTGATGCAGGCATCCAGCTACCAACTTCCCTGGTAATGCTATAAATCTATGTACATATATGCTCAGTACTGAAAGTGAAAACATGACCACGAACAAAAAGGAGAGAAATATGTGCTCCCTCGGTATACCTAGATGAACGCCATAATCTTATGTGTACAAATGTACAATTATTTATATTAAGAGGAACTTTTGTATATGGCATTGGTCAAAACTTTTATATATGATCTACCACATAAAAAAATCATATCCTGTTGATGTCACTGTTCATAAATTTTAATCGAATGACAATATTCCAATAGTCTTCAGTGTGGGTGGGTGTGTGTAATCCTATGCGGATTAGATTGCTTGCGGGGTTAAGATTTTTTTATTATTCTTCACTCACCAACGATTAGGAAAACTCTAAAACCTTCTATAGTCGCAGGAAATGGTCCGAATTTGGTATCTGAATCTATGGAATTTATAACCAGCGGAAATATGCTACAAGACATTCATGGAAACCAACTTTCCATTTTAATTTGATGGGCACAAATTTGTTATAATCTCCAACTTGAAAATCAATTATATTGAGCACAAATACATGAAAATCATTTCCCTGTGTGTTGTCTGCATGTGATTGTATCCTGATTCCAGATTTCACGGTCCTTGTAGCAGCTTCCACATTCATATTAGAGCCTTTCACCAATGGACCAAGTATATGCATGAAAAAAATCACTTTTCTCGCACTGATTTTCTTGTTTACATTACAATTGTTACTACTCGTATGTAGAAGCATGAGAATCCTTACATTTTTTTCTCTAGAAACAAATAAATGGAGCGTGGATTCAGACAGTCATAGCCTAGGTACAGTAACACCCAACCAGAAAATTCATAAACGACCAATCCAGTTTAGACAGCAGGAAGATGCACAGGTAAGCATAACAGAATTTGCTGAAGTGCACAACTTGTAAACTAGTAAGAATTAGATGGCATGGATAATATCATGTGATTTGCATTCTTCAGTCCCGTGCACAAGATATTGTTAATTTCTGAAGCACAAACTTGAACTAATTAAAGACTGTTCCTGGACTTGATTTGCACTCTCCTTCTGACAGACACAAACTCCGATGACTTGAATTACTCATTATTTCGTAACTAATGATTTAAAGTATTGAATAAAAATAGGATAAGATCTTAGGCAGGCAGACACAATCTGTTTCGAATGCTAATTACAGCAAAGAAATTGAAAAACAAAACACACTTGTCCACATCCACTTAACTATTAGGTTAACAACATCCACTGTCAGTGTACAGTGCTTACTGCTTAATTAGCTCCTGAACCATAGGAACAAAGCACATCAACCATTCATGCATCACCAACAAGAACTAGTGAAGATAAAGCAACAATCTTTTAGTATAGCAACTAGAACATCTCCTATATTGAGCTGGCACTTCACTGGATCATAGTAGGAGAATGAAAATTGGGAGATAACTGCACATAGATACACTACATAATTAATCTGTTTTCAGTTACTCTACCCTGATTAATTATGAAACCGATCATGCAATTAATCTTTCCCCACCCTACCCTGATTAATTATAGTTTCCCAAGAGACCCAACCATAAACACAAAGGATAAACCTGAGCAACCATTTGGCGACCTCTGAGCTGTTATACGGATTACTGAAGAAACACGAAGCGGAGAGGGAAAAAAGACACCAAACCTGCCATTGAGCAACAGAATCATGAAAACTTTGTGGTTGTTTCACCTGCTTGCCGATTGATTTTGCATAAATTTGCTTGTTTCTTAGTTCGAATGAATGGTCGAATTTGTTATCTACCTAGTCTGTTTGGAGTAGAATGCTATTGAACCAACTGGTTCTTTGACAAATGAAACATTCAACCTGTTGAGATGAAATCTGACAGAAGCAAGTGCTAGTTTTCAAGGGCATGTTTTGCGTCAACTTCCTTTTTTTGGCAAAAAAATTGATTATAAATGTACTCATTAAGTTGTTAGCAACTTTGATTAATATCCTGCAAAAAACGCCCCATAAAAGTGTCCTGCAAAACCAAATTTGACTAGTAAGACAATGATTTGCTTAGAAACCAAATTTGACTAGTAAGACAATGGTAACATGATTAGCACCCAATTTTACAGCGATAAAATGAATAGCATAGAAGCATCCTAAAATCTGACAGGTCATGGTCAATTCCAGGGAGAAAAAAACAGGGCAGGCAAAGTAAAAAACAAAATTCCAGTAGACATGCACAATAAAAGTGCTGATGGTAAAATCATTCACAATTTATGATTTACTGCTTAGAGTGTTCCAAAATCTGTGTATCAACTCGATGTGTACTGCTCTTAGGTTCAATAAAAGCTTCCGTTTAAAAAAAAAACACAACAAAAGTGCTGATGGTAAAATCATTCACATTTTACGATTTTACAATTATGCTAGCATTTGAACTCCACTGAGCTCATGGAATCAAGCACAGTTAAGCACATACAGACTATTGCGACACTAAAGATAACATATCATGTCCAGAAGCAAACCATAAAAAACTTCAGAGCGTGCAGTATCAGAACATATTTAGTCGTAAACTAAGGCAACTTCACAGAACCCATGCTAGAGGTACTCGTTTTTGCCTTGCACCGACAGTGAAAAATCCATGGTTGACGTACTAAAAATGTGTGTATAAACGTAACTACTCGCATGTGAGCCACATTCTGTGTAACTACTCCCATGTGAGCCATATTGACTTAGACAGGTTCAGAGAAGGCTTAAATTGGATCACGACAACATGGTCAGTTTCATCGATTGCTGAATCCTACTTTACTCCCCGGTTGTTCCGCGTAGTCCAAGGTCTTTTCATATCATTTTTAAAATAAAATATAGAGTAAAGTCCACTACCGGTCTGTTGTACTGTTGTGTCCCCTTGGTCACTAAACTCTGAAGCCTCTTGTCCCATAAGTCCGTAACCATTAACTACTATACTAGCTTCATCTTCATCTCCATGACCAGATCGGTGTTCTGATCGGTCTCCTTATTGCTTTCTTCTCCATGGAACAAATTGCCAATGTGAGAAATGCGACCCGGGCAGCAAAGGAATTCGCTTCAAGCTCCGCCGGGCAGCTGGCAAGGATCGAGGGCCTAGTGACCGTGGGTTGCCTCCTCGTGGGCATCCTGGTCCTGTCCAACTCGAGGCGACGCCATGAGAGCCATGGCTTGGCCAGGCTCGTCGTCTGGGGCGCCTTCATGTTCAACTACCCGGTGATCTCCTACACCATCGGCCTGATGCAGTCGTCGTCAATCCAGAACGAGCTCTTTGTCGTGTAGGCCTGCTTCCTCCTCCTCCCCCTCCTCGGCAGCGCCGACACCATGACGGCGTTCAGCTTCAAAGACAGCAGCCAGCAGACGAGATCCATGATGAACCAGGCCCTCCACATCATCTACCTGCTGTTTCTCACACTCTACTACAAAGGTCAGCTCCGCAGCAACTTCCTCATCAGTTTGTTTCTGCTCTGGAGCTTTAGCGTTGTAAGGCTAGGCTGAGGGGTAAGGCATACCGGTCAACGTGCCGGTCGCTTGGTCTGGTCAAGGAGAACCAGGTCGTGTTCGATTACATGAAAGTACGAGCCGTTGAACAGTGCCGGCTTCCAAGGTGGTTCTTACAACCCAGAAACAATGGAGGAGTACATCTATCTTGTCGACGGCAAGGAAGTGAAGGAGGTGAGGGGTGGGGAAGAAGTCATACATGTGGCTTATGGTGTGCCGGAAACGGTGGACGTCTCCAAGATCTGGAAATGCAAAGGGAAGTTGCTGCAATCTAGCGGTAGGGAGGGACAAGAAGAAAAGAGAGCATCGAGGTGGAGGGACCTCTATCTCTCCTTTGCGCTCTTCAGGCTTCTCAGGCTAAGGTTTGCAGCTGATCACATCGGCAATGTAAACCTCCCCTTTCAGCGTGACAAGTGTCGAGACTTTGTTGTCAATGGGCTCCTCTCCAATGACAACGATCTCGATAGAGCATTTCGGGTAGTCGAGGCGGAATTGGGGTTCCTCTTTGATTTCTTCTATGCTCGGTACCTATCAATCAAAGACACCCTAGATCCAGATCTGATTGTGTATGTTGTGATCCTCACGACCAGCATATTTACTCTATTCAGCTCTGATCTTCTCAAGTCCCGGCCTACCGGAGGCGGTGCAAACATCTATATCCATGGCTTCAATCTTGATATTCTCATCACTTGTTTGGTCATCGTGTGGTACATCTTTCTTGAGCCGTACCAATTCCTTGCGTCCGTCTTCTCGGATTGGCACAAGGTGAAGATGATGTGCCGGTACGTGCAGCATGAGTCATGGCACAGGACGTTGGTGGATATCCCACCCAAGGTCCTCTGCCATTTCACATTCACAAAAGTACTGGATGGGCAGCATCAGCCAGTACTTCATCCTCGACAACACCCATCCTCACCGGGTCAAGTCCTTCCTATCATGGATCTCACTCGAAGCCCTAGATGCATCACTAATGACTTGCTCCATCAGCTTGCCACCAGAAGTGAGGGAAGCCGTTCTCCGCCAACTCAAGGACATCAATGGCAAGATCACGGATGGAAGAATGTGGCTTTATGAGATGGGTGCCATCGACCTATACCTCGATCGTTTTTTTTTCTCGAATACGCAAAAGATTTGCGTATCATTGTATTAAGAAGAATAGTTTGAACAAACATACAATACGCTTCTAACGAGCACCAAAGGAGGTCGACCTAACACAGCCGAAGCTGGACCATCCTAGCAAAAGACCACATGTTTGGATATTACATAAAAGGAAACAACCAATATCGACGCAACTTTGTGACCTAGGAGGTTGCCTTGCGTCTTCGCGGCTGCCTGGACGATGCCTTTGTAACGGCCGGAAAGAGCTCGTCCAGCGCCTTGGCTTCGGACGTAGTTAGGTTGCTGTCGAAGAGCCTGTCGAAGATCTCCAACTCCGAAGCGGATGTCGTAGATGGACCCTTGATGTAGCCCATACGCTGCATGATCAACACCTCACCTCGCTTGGAA